CCCACACACACACACACACCTGCAGCCCCCACCAAACATATTTTGTCCACTGCCTCGCCATTGTATTTCCTACACCGCCATCCAATATGGCTACCATCTCAGTTGTGTTATGAATATATAATGCCAGGGCAGACGCTGCTGCTGAAATCACAGCAGCCAGTGAGCAGAATGAATCAGGCTGCAGCACGAATCCTTTGCAGGGTGGATAGAGAGGGGGGAAATACCCACCTCTGTGCGTCTTTACGCACGATTATTAACTCTATGTGGACAATATGCATTTTGCAAATTTGTGCTCTGATGCAGAATAAAACGGAAGCTGGTGTGAGAGGCACGTGCGCTCAGCGTGAAGCTGAATTCCACATAAATGATGTGACAGAGATATACGTTATGGGTGCACGTTTACATGCGTGATGGGAGAGTGCAAAGCACTGCAGCATAATGCAGTGGTCTAGATATGGCCACCCTGTTGACACAGCATTACAGCACCACACAACACACACACTGAGGAAGAAAACGGCATCTCAAATCCATGCTGTGTGTAATGAATGATGTTTATGAAGTGAAATGAAGATGCAGACCGAAAATGAAAGCACTATGCTGCACACCCTTCACGCTCCCACCACACACGCGCACACATACTGGCTCCAGCTTCCCAGCATACCGACCTGTGGGTGACTCGATGCCCGCCGAAGCGTACCCGGAGGCGGTCGGCGACGGGGAGGACGAGCCAAGGGGGATGATGGATCCGCCGCCGCTGGAGCCGCTCCCAGGCTTCGGGCACTTCTTTGAGGACTTCTTCTCCTTCATCCAGGGGAACTCGTGGGCCAGCGGGCCGGCCGGGGCGGCCACGGCCAGGGCAGGGGTCTGGCCGGGCGGGAAGGGCTGCTGGGCGCCCCGGTGGTTCGTCTGGAGGCCATTGGCGACGGAGGTCCTCCGGTTCTGCTGGCTCCTAGCAGCCGGTCTCGGATGGCTGGCTGTGCAGGGGCTGAGGCTGGGGATGGTGTGCTCGAAGGGAGGCGGAATTACTGTCGACTCCTTGATTGATGAAGTTTGAAATGACTCCAGGACGGCTGGGAAGGACGTCAGGCACTCTGCTAGGGACGGCTGGCTGTTGATAAAACCGATCTCCCTCTCAAATTCAAAATTCATAGCTCCCTCGAACCGGCTTCGACCTCAGAACGGCGAGACCCCCGAAACAATCCCTTCCCCAAAATAAAAAAACAAAACAAAAAAAAAAACACATAAACGCGCGCGCTCGCGCACGCACTCAAAACAATATGGCTTCTTTCGGGGGAAAAAAAAGGAAAAAACGCACAAGCATGTAGGCTCCCGACCGCAATGGCGTAAACGCGGCGGCTATATAATAATTGTGTATATTGGTGATATTACTCGCGTATGGGGACCATGGGTAGGCTAAACTGAAGAACTATGGGGCGAAATTGCAGCCAATTCCTGATCATGTGACGCGAAACAGCCAATCGGGGTGTTGGGGGGGTCCAGGCCCTGGCGGCGATGGCGATGGCAGTGGGAAGCAGCATTATTATTTTTTTCCACCAAATGCTGTGGCAACGCAGGGCTGCATCACAGGATGGCTGCTATTGTTTCGTCTTAACGGGGGGTAACGTGCGGGGCGGAGGAGAGACGACCAGGCGGCCGCTCGCCATGTGCGCCATGTGGGCGGCGGGTTCGGCGCATCCTATGGACCCGGTGTTACACACGCACAAACAATAGAGCATCTCTCGGACATCTTTTTTTTTTGGTCCTCTGGGTGATGCTATGACGGTTAGGGTGGACGGAGCTGGCCGGCACCGTTTACAATATGGCTCCTCAGCTGAGTGCTGTTTACAACACTCAGCTCATTAATCTTATAAAGTGTGACAGAGGCTGAAAATCCCCAACTTAGACACAGGACAAAAAAAAAATACTTGGAGAGGGTTTTAGATGGCGCAGCAGCTCAGGAGGAGAGGATGATGAAGGTTCTACTCAGTGGGGATGAGGCAGACCGGCTTGTCAGAGCAGAGAGACAGTTAGAGTTAACGGGGAAGAGAAGCCTGTTGGTGTGTAAGTGTACTTTATTTTTGTTTTAATCATTGGATCATGTTTTGTTTTTAATAGTTGCAGGAGCGCGCGTGAGAGAGATGGAACCCTAAAATGTTGTCTAAATATAATGCCACTAAAATAGCCTCCCCCCTCTCTCTCTCTCTCTCTCTCTCTCTCTCTCTCTCTCTCTCTCTCTCTCTCTCTCTCTCTCTCTCCAGTGTAATGTATGTGTGTTAAAAATGTCCGGTGTGTTTACGCAGAGAGAGAGAGAGAGAGAGAGAGAGAGAGAGAGAGAGAGAGAGAGAGTGTGAGAGAGTTCACAGCGAGGTCGCTCCGTGCAGCTAGAAAAAAAGGAGGGGAGAGCGCGGGTCTCCTGTAGTAAAAGAAAATACTAATAATACAGCAGCAATAATACGAAAGCTAATAGAAAGTGAGAGTGTGCTGAGTGGCCTTCAGGCTCAACAGGACGCACATGTAGATTTTTATTATTTTTTCTTTTTTTTTTCCTCATAAAGATCAGGAACTCGGGAGGAGTTTTTGGGGAGGGCTCGAGGAGCCCCGAGTGTGGAGAAAATGTGCGGTGATCAATCTTTCACTCCCTGCAAAGAGGCTGACAGCAGCCCCTCTTCTCTCCCTAAATAACAAGCAGCCCTCCGCCCCCCCCCCCTTTAGATCCATTACTCACTGTGTGTTATTATTTATTTATTTATTTTACTTTTCGCACAGATTGTACGCGCGGCAAATGCGCTCATATGTATACGTCACGCGGCTATATTTTATCGGTTGAGAGAACAAAAAATAAAAAAATAAATACAAATAATAAAACCAATCAGATACAAATGGAGAAAATGCTGTTTAGCTCGGCCTCTCGTTCCCATGCCATTTGGCTTCTTCCCGCCTGACTGTGAAAGAGACGGCAGAAGGGGAAAAAGGCAGAAATGCGCGTGGGAGTGAGGGCCATTGAACGCAGCAGAATAAGCGCAGGCTGCGTGAACACAGCAGACACAAGCTGCTGCCTGAGCTCCAGCATCACAATGTACTGCGGCCCGCTCGGTGTCTGTTCTTCATCTCGTTTTTACGCTAATTTTGAAAATTATATATATTCATTTAAAAAAAATGTATTTTATTGGAAAATACCGACGACTTTGTTGGAAGTTTTGTTGGCGAACAGAGGCAGTTTTTTCATGCTAGTTATCACACGGGACGCGTGGATTGGCCGACTGAAAGATTTGTGACTTTTATTTTATTTGGCAGTTAATTCTCTTGTTTTAGGGTTACTCAGTGTAAAACAACTATTATTACCACACCAATACCCACGTTTTGATTTGATATAATTTAACATATAATTAGTCCGCTTAATATTGATAGTTGAGATTTTAAATTCACCAAAGTAAAGTAAAACAAAATCTAAATGACCAGGATTTTTCTATAGGCTGCTTTTATTTATTATAACTATTGGTGTTATTATCTGCATGATAAAATAAAGACATCTGTTCTCGTCTGACAGACAACTTTTTCTGACAAATTCCCTGCCTAAACATCGTCACCTTATTAATGCAATTGTAATGTCTGACTCCAGAGCAGTGCGCGTACCTGGCTGTGAGCGTGTTCCACAGTAATAGCTGTACTGTTTTCAGCAGAGGCTGCGTTGCTCTGAAGCCGAGCCCTCCTCCTGTTTTTATGAGGCAATAAATTAGATCCAATCTCTGCTTATTGGTGTTTTTATTGTCTGTTAGTCCAACGGAGATGTAAAGGGAAGTGCAGCCATTATTTACGGGAGCCTGATTTATGTCCCAAGTTTTATGCTGCTCTCAGGCCTCTCAGCACAAGCGCGTGCGAGAGTGAGGGAGAGGGGGGGGGGGGGGTAGAGACCATGTGACTGAGCCAAGGCGCAGGCCTCAGGGCTTTTTTTTAGTCATAAACAACATCACAGGACACATTGGATCAGCATGCATGTGAAAAGAAAGACACAACAAGGGAAAAATAAAGTTGAAAAGAGAGAAAACATTAAAGGGGCAGTTCACTCCAAAATCCATATTTTAGATAGTTTTGGTGTGAGTTGTCTAGTTTTGGAGATATCTTCCGTAGAATAAGTCTGTCTTCTCTCCAATGTAATGGGACTATCACACAAAACTCAACAGCAACCTCTGTTGTTGTGACCACGAGGTCTGTTGTGGCCGATGTCTCCGAAAAAGTAGCCCACTCACAACTATTCATGAATAGCACCACAGGTAAAAGTAAGAGTATGTGTTTTTGATTTTTGGTGGGGAACTGTCCCTTTAAGAAGAAATGTGTCTTGGGTCGCCTATCTGTTGAAAAGGGTCAAACTATTCTGACCCCAAGAGGGAAAATGAACATTCTCAGCAAGAGCAAAAGTAAATTAAGTCAATCCAGAAAGTTAACACTCAGCAGTCAATTATTAAAAGAAAGTCAAATAAATAGTCAAACAAATAATAAATGATCAAACAGGAGGGTTAGTTAGACAGTAGAAAAGACCATACATTTAAATAACTCCAACCATCTGCTGCTTTCTCACAGAGGTTAACTTAAAGAAGGAAAAGAAGGCTCCACCAGAGCTTTCAACCACACCACATGGTCTCGCTCACCATTTTAAGTCACAGCACTTATGTTCTACCTCTGGATTTAAAGTGAGCACCCGTCGTGCAGAGGAACAGATCGTTCTGGTGTGAAGCGTCCAGGTTGAGAGGTCAGATGGGGCGTTAGCGTCTTGCTCAAGGACACCTCAGCAGCAAGCGTTTGCGTGTTTGGGGGTTGATCAGAGTTGCCTTGCTGCCACTTTGCCGCTCCAACAGAACGGATTAACTCAACATGAAAACAACTCTATTTTAAATCATGAAATTGAATCTTAAATGTTTTCTCCAGCATCTGGGTCAATCAAATATAATCCTCGAGATGCTGTGCAATACTGAGAGCTTTTACTGGTACTGAACACAGACGTTGCTGTCAGACAAAAATAACAGAGCTAAAGTCAATGTTTCCTTCTCAGAGAGCTGACTCTAGAAAAAAGAACAAGCAGCAACAAGTATCAGGTTCTAGTTCAGGAACAGTTCTTGGATCTGACCTTAGACCTTCACCGGGATGAAGCCCGGTGTCTGACACACATCGGCATGTGTGGATCGTTGCTGGTAATCAGTACGGTAAATGAACACCAGCCAGCGGAATGGAATAGTAGCAGAGTAGCATGCCACTGGAACAGCTTGCAGCCGCTTTGCCTTCTTTCTAAAGCCTCAAAAGAGACTAACAGCGGATTTGAAGTTTCCCGAAAGATTTGTTCTTTACTTCTGACATGTTAACGTCGCTCTCGGCTTCACAAGTAATTATTGGGAGGGTTTTCTGACAGCGATGCCATGCTTTAGCCCCGAGGTATCGACCCGATATCCAATGCTGACCCGTCAGTGTCACGTCAGCCCCGCTTGTTGGAAAGAAGTCACACCTACACCAGATCCTCGACAGTCACATCACATTGCGGTAGAACGCGCATGATCCCCACGCCGGGGCGCCGACCAGCACACAGCAGCTTTAAAGCAAAGGATTGTGGGAGATAAACAGTCATTTGTCCTGCAGCTTTACGTTATACTTTGAGAAAGTGGTTTTTCATGTTGCTTTTTGGGTTCTATCCTTGAGGTCAGCTGATTTTAAAGGGACATTAGGTTGACATTTTGCCAAAGCTGATAATCAACAAAAACATACTTTACTTTAAAAGTTGAGCTTATTTTCATAGTTGTTTTGTCACCGTTGGCAGGTAACCGCAGTCCAAAGACATGACAGTCAACACAACTGGCCGCGACAGGTTTTTACCTGCAGCAACACTGCTGATACGGACGATAATGTTTGAATAAGTGAAAGCACCTGAGAATCATTAACAAACCGAAGATATCTGTGAATAACATAACATTTTATTAAAGAATTGTTCGACAGACAACCCTCTCAACAATGAAAGAAAAAAAGGAGCTACAAAGGACAAAGAAAGAAGTTGTTTTTCTCCCCAAAAAAAGAAAGACTCGTCCTTTTTTTCCAGCTAGTAGTTTGTCTAAATGTTTCCGACTATGCGCGGACGGGTCACCGATCCCCATCCTTGCCTGTTTCCCTGTACAAGCCAAGACATGTATGTACAAGGGTCATTATAGGAACATAAAAACTACGTATTCTTCTAAAATACAAGAACTAAAAAATAAAATGTAACTTCAGTACAATGGACAAGAAGAAACACAACGTTTTTTTTTCCTTTCATAACAGGTAAATACTAAAAAAGTACAGTATTTTTTCTCGATATAAATACATGAAGGATAAATAATAATAATACAAAACAGAAAGTATTTTTTTTAAACTGGCTATAACAAATAAATATTTATATATGAATGTTCACTTGAACACACATTGGCGAAAGACGCTTTGATTGGAGGGCCTTCCGTCTTCAAAATAAGATTTCATCATTATTATTTTTTTTACCTTTAACCATCAAAATGTAAACTCTAAGTGCAACAATGATGCCCGGATTCGAAAAGCTTTTGTGTAGATCTGCACTTTAAAAAAACAAAAACAATACGGGAGGTTTATTTCCAGAACAGCAGAGACCGTTCAAACAAATAAACCCGGTTGTTTTTAATAAAACAAAGTGTGACACACATCAGCTCACATATCTGGGACATGCATTTTTGTTCAAATATATACCCTGTATCCACGTTAAAAGTCAAGATATGTGAGAACAAAACAAAACGATATAGAAGGTGGACAAATTCTGCATTGGTGTTCGCTAATGTAGCCAAAGAGAAACCTTCCAAAGTGATAAGAGAGAGGGGGGGAGAGTGAGCGAGAGAGAGAGAGAGAGGGGGGGTAGAAGGGCAATAACTTACCCAAACATAAATAAATAGTGTTCTCCACTCTTATTATTTACCCTGTGTCGATGATGTGCTAAAACAAGAACATTAAAATGTCTCTTCCATGTCCTCTCCTGTGTTTGTGTAAAGATGTCAACAGCTGCTCACCTGGCTGTGGATGTATGTCAACGAACGGAAGCTAGCTTAGCATTGCTGTGCGTGTGTGTGCGTGTGGAGGCGCGAGCTTCGCTTAGCGCAGATGTGCGTCTACATGGGAGCTAGCTTAGCCTTTGAGCTCGTAGCTTCTTAAACCCTGTTTAGATTGATGGGAGGGTAGCGGTGGGTGCACATGTGGTTGATGGATGTGTGTGTGTGTGTGTGTGTGTGTGTGTGGAGGGGGGGTCTGTGGCGGACTGTGGGAACATGTTTTGGCCTCCTTCAGAAGCCATGTGCTGCTGCCACAGACAGGAGCCGGTGGGTTAGTAGTGATTCGGTCCGGCAGGAGGCGGGAGGAGACAGCGGAAGGGGAGGACCATCCAGTGTGTTTGTAATGTGACTCGTGGAACCTCGTACATTTCTGTTGTACACATGTGCTGCTCACCACGTAGCTCGGCCCGGCTGACAACAACCCGTGCTGCCATGAGCTCAGCGTCATAAATCTGACCACCTCGTTAAACCGCCCATTCAAATCTCAACTATTTCATTCACCAGGCGGGAGAGCTGCTTGTTGTGTGTGTGTGTGTGTGTGCGGGGAATATATCACCAACTTACAGTTTTAAACAACATACTATAGCTCCACCAAACATGCTAGCTGAGCTACAGCTGCAGTGTGCTCCACACACACACACACACACACAAAAAACGCTTTGCATTTATTTTGCTGTGTAACTTAAACACATTATGCAAAGAGAATGCACTGCCATTTGTGTTTGTTTTTCTGTTTCTGAGATATTCTGTAACACAAGAACTGAAATAGTCCACATTGTAGTTTTCAGATTGACAGCGCAGTGGATTATCAGACTGAACCACGGGGCTCGCCTTCAGATCCCGTTGTGCCGTACAGCTGCCGATATGTCTCTGCACCGGTGCCGCCAGATCAGCTTCCTGACATTTATTGTCCCCAGGGGGGGACGTGGGAGACAATTGACTGTACACTTCTTCTCCCGCGCCTACAATATGCTTCGCTGCACCTGGGACGCTCAAGAGTGTAAATTGCTCTAAAAAGGCTCGTGTAAAAGAAATAATTTCCTTGTACGAGGATGTAAAATAGTAAATTTGGTCCCGGTTTTTAAAAAAATACTTGGAAATGTTTGGCAACTACCGTTGACTTCAGTACCGTTACACTGCGGAGTGCCTTTTGTTTAGGTTTTTGAGCAACATAAATGGTTTGTGTTCATGCTACTTAATAATATGCACAACCATTGTGTTTTTTAAATCAAATTAGCTGCACTTTAAAGAGAACAGTGAAGGCTTAGCCCTATTCAGAAGGCAGTGGAAACAAGGTGGCTGGACAACACAACTCTGTAGAGCAAAGGACCAACCACTGGACGGCCCCTGTCTGTCTCCCTTTGTCTCTCCTGCCATCCCGTTGCAGCAGTAGAGTCCCCGCATGTTAGTTTGTCTGTTAGTGAGTCGCGTCGTGTCACGCGTTCTGTGTGTTGTCTTCACTACTTCCTACGTTTTCGGTTTTTGTTCCAAACCTGCTACAGGTGAGTGAGCTTGGGTGCTTCCTGGATTCTGCCCTGAGTCGAGGTGTGGTGAGCCGACAGCTCGGTGTACGTCGGGTGCGTGGGCGGGTCGCAGGGACCCGGGGGGCCCCCTCCGCCCACGTGGTGCTGGTTGGCGGCCGACATGGGCCCCGCGCTGTTGTAGTCCATGGTTTGGTGGTGAGGTGGTGTGGGGCCGAGGTGGTTTAGCCCGTACATGGAGGGCCCCGAGCCGGGCATGGGTTCCACGTAGCTGCCACCCCCCACGTAGACTGGACTGGCCTGCATGTTGGTGGGAGTCCCGTAGCCAGCATTGTTGGCCTGCACTAGGCCATGGTGAGGATGGGGGTCGCCGTAGTCCGGGGCGCCGTACTTCTGTTGGGGGGGACAGCCCTTCATGGGGACGTTGGAGTAGGCAGTGGACATGGAGTAAGACACTCCCTGGTGGGGTTTGCTGAAGGACGGCGGAGACGGGACGTCGTAGCCGACCCCGCCTCCCCCTACCATGGGGTGCATGGAGTTGAGGAAGCTGGCGGAGGACTGCATGGTCAGGGGCGGGGAGCCGGTTGGCGAGGGCCCCCCGGAACTGGAGCTCAGGCCCTTGGACTTCTGGTCCTTCTTGTACTTCATGCGCCGGTTCTGGAACCAGATCTTGATCTGGCGCTCGGACAGGTTGAGCAGGTTGGCCATCTCCACGCGGCGTGGCCGGCACAGGTACCTATTGAAGTGGAACTCCTTCTCCAGCTCGACCAGCTGGGCGCTGGTGTACGCCGTGCGAGCCCGCTTGGACGACGCCGACGAGCCGCCGGTGGGACTCTTCTCCCCGCTGCTGCCGCTCTCAGCTCCTCCTGATGCTGGAGGGTAGAAGAGAGGAGATTACACAGAGGAATGGATGATGGCAGGGATAGGATGCAGAGAAAAAGTGTCACCAAACAAAAGAAAACAGGGGCACAAAAAACCCTAAAAAATAAAGAGAATGAAAATGGGAGAAACTTACACAAAATATTGTAAAAAGGGAGTCAGTAAGAAGCAGGTAAATTATGATGGACTGAATGGAGAGAGGAAGAGAGAATAAAACACACTCAGGCTGCATGCTGGAGGAAATTGAAAGCATTCAGGTTCTTAATAAAGCAGAGGGGGGTCCGGGCGTGCTGGCTGAATTATCCCCCGATATTAGTTGTCAACACTTCATAACAGTGGCAGTTATTAAGAGACGGAGGGCTCCGGCGCTGGCCGAGGGCAGCCAAATTGCATCTTGGCTGGAAAGACAAACCCCCGGCAGCAACAGCAGCTGCAGCACCAGCGAGCGAAGCTGACCGCGCTCTCCTCAGACAGCTCACCGAGAAAACGTCAAGCTTCGATGTGATAGTTACACTAACTCATAAAGAAAGGTATTCTAGACGATAGCTGGTTATCTGACACAAAAAGGGCTCAAGTAGTCTGATATACCTTAATATATAGAAGCTGCTGCTTTATCAGTCAAAGTCAAGTTTTGATAAAAACAAGCATGGATGTTGAGAGGATAAGAGGACTTCAAAGCCCCGTCACACACGCCTGTTTACTCTCACAGTGAGGGAGCAGGAATAATTGCTAACGTATTATATTAAGGTCAACAAGCGTTACTTAATGGGTAATAAGGCCCTTATAAGTCCTTAAAAGATGCTTATAAACAGTATGTGTTATCAAGACTATAACAAGTGTTAATAATACCATCATCACACATTTATTGTATGTGTTTATATGTTTATAGTTATTAATAAGTGCATTATTATGTTGTATTGTCCTTATTAAGGCATTGTTTGATCCAAGAGCTACAAAAAGCAGTTAACTGCTAATTAATGCATAATAAAATATGCGTTGATGTTAATCAAACTATAAAAGAAGCTTTGCAAAGCTTTAACAATGACATCATTCATTTGTTTGGAAAGTTATTATGAGCAAATATAAGAAAGCCTTTTCTTACCATTCTTAAATAGTCTAAACTGTGGACAAGTTTCTCATAAGTGATCATACATGTCTTATATTCTAACAATAAACGTTTGTATGATGCGACTATTAACACTTATACAGTCTTATTAACACTTATTAATGTTAATAAGCATTTTAAAAGGACTCATAAGGGCCTTATTGCCTATTAAACCACAGTTATCATAAGGACCTTACAATGAAGCGTTAACAAATAAGGTTGATTTTGTAACATCAATTCCAAAATGAGTTTTAAAATTCAGAATTTAGGTAGCCTGTATCATAAATGTTTATTTTCTGAATCACTGCCGTTGCTCAGCAGTGCTGAACCCTCTGGCCTTCACACGTACTGACGATATCATCATCAACAAAGATACTATCAGTAAATAGAAGATGTCAAACGGGTGAACAAACAACTGACAACTTAACGTGACAGATAAACCAGATTATCTAAACTAAATTGCCAGTTTATTTGGTACACCTAATGGAATTATAATGCAGCAGAAGGTCATGAATGTTATAATGTTCAGTGTGATGTTGTTGCATCATACTGAGGGTGTTTCTAATATGATCTCCAACCCATTTATACCAATGAGGGTAGAGCAAGAAACCTCTTTCAGCACCACAAACTAAGTTCTCTAAAACATAAGCCGAACATTAAAGCCTCCATGAGGTTGTGATGTATTAGCTGTAGCTAGGTGTGCCTTGTACACATGACTACAAAAGGTCAAAGTTGAGGTAGGACGTTGATTTAGTTTGCTTTTGATGTTTAATAACCAGCGAGTTTATAACGACCTAAAATATTCCATGAGATTATGAAGTAAAAAATATTAAAGAGATTAAAGTTGCAAATTTAGGACGTGTGGTGTGATGAGGTTGACCCAACCTTTAGAGTGAAACAATGTGGAACCAAGGGGGGGTAAGTTGCAAATTTGTGACTTTAATCTCAGAGAATATTCAAGTGTTTTTCTCGTAAATGAACCCCTTTAATTTGAGAGATTAGAGGTTTTTTTCATGTAATATTTGTTTTTTCTCTCTGAATATTACCCCCTCCCCCTCCCCTGCCTTCGTACTTTTTATTTTAATTAATTTGATTTTTTTTATACCTACAATGGCCTTTATATGCCTTTTCATGCTAGAGCTATAAAAACAAAAGATATATTGTTTTCTTAAATCTTTCCAGAGTATTCATGTATGGTGTGAACATACTTTTTTGTTTTTAACCATGTGCCATGAGCATGAATGTCAAAAAGTCACTACATAATCTAAACCCAGAAACTGTGAAGGTTCCATGTGTCATAAGGACTGAAACGAGGGTCGGTATGCTGCTGAAGCATATGGCCACTAACATAGACTCCAACAGTAACAGCTGATCCTTAGCTGCCTCTGGGCTGCTGTTTATTCCACAGTAGACAGAGGAGCTGAACTCCAGTGCCTCTTCCATCTCTCTCGTCTCTGTTATGAATATATTGTTATGTACGGGCACGCCTGCGATGTGTTCATACCACTGATACCACGCACTGAGATCCTATCTCTCTCTCTCTGAACAGTGTAAACAGTTGACTCTCACAGAGACAGAGTGATGAGAGAGGTAACCATCACATCATCCATCTCGCGGAGATGGTGACATTCTCAAAAAACGATGGTTTCAAATCCTCATCAATAAGCAGTGTAATCTCTCCCCAACCCTCGGCCCAGTCAGCTGAATGCCTTCTGAATACCAGACTCATATTAATTATGGCGGAGCATACTCTTCCTCATTGATAACTACCAATGTGTCTGTCTCAATCACCGTTTCCTTCGCCTGTTATCAGACATGCAGATGATATTCAAATTCATCACCTCCCCACATTCCCTAATATCTTCCATTTCAAACGTCTGCATGTCTGAAGATCTATTCATCTGTTATCGTACGTAACATTTAAATTCACCCGTTTTAATATCTTCCTTTCTTGCTGTGGCTTTCCAAGAAGGTGAGGAGGAGGAGGAGGAGGAGGAGGAGGAGGAGGAGAGAGAGAGGAGGCCGAAGAGGGGAGGAAGGAGAGCAAGCAATTAGCAGAGAGGGGAGAGGTTTGGAGGAAGTCAATGAATGAAGGGAGGTGTACAGGCTATCGGCTGCAGCTTTGTGCCAGCTGGTTAGCCGCACTATCCTAACAGTGACTACTGTTACTGTAGTCGTGTGTTATAGTCCGTGATTGTTTCTCTATCAAGTCCAACTTCATTTCAGGTCCTTTTACTGAACACTAAATCGCTCTCTGTTCCACCTTTCTGCTGTTTGGTTAGGGTAACCCTTAGAACTGTTTCTAGATGAATCCATCCGCTCAGAAGCCTTTACCATAACCCTGACTAACCTCGCTGCTCCATTTAAACCTAACTAATCCAACCCACAAAGGCACCAAGTTCTAGCCAATCAGAGTGAGCATAGGGCGGTTCATGCCTTTACCTCCAGGAAGTCGCTGCATCTGGCTGTTGATTGGCAGAAAGAAACAGAGCCAGCATGTGACTCCCTCTAAAACCACACATACTTGCTTTTACATTGTGTTCTGATTAAACAAAAAAAAGATGCAATTGGTTGGTCATTAGTTGGTATTAGTTAGCTTGAGAGGTGTTCGGTGCATTATTTCAAGCTCTATCTTTTTTTATGCTAAGCTAAGCTAATAACCTCCTGACACTGCACTTGCCATAATACTTATCTCACTCTAAAAAAAGAGGCGTAGCATTTGTTTAGATCTTCATTTGTTGAATCCAAGCATCTATATTTCATTTGCACACATCATATAAATAACTACATCCTTTTCTTAAAAAAACTAGCCATTACAAATATAAATGTTCTTCCTGCTTTTAACATGTTTATCTCTAGGTTTCGCTGGAATATTTGTCAGTCTGCCATGCCTCTGACCTTTGACCTCTTCACTGCTTGCCTTTTTAGTTGTTGTTTTTTTAAAGTTACCCTGCTGATGAAGTCAGACTGGACCTTTCAACTGCCTTGCTTTCTCAGTGAGATGTAGGAATGCTTTGGTGAATCCAGCTCACCAGCCGATCATTTTAAAACATTATGAGACACCTAAAATGACCTTGGACCAGAGCAGACTACAGATTACCAGCTTGACCAGTAGTCTGAACCACAGCCTATGGAAACCTGTTTTGCAGTGATAGTCTGAGAAACCTTTTAAATCCTCCGGGGATCCGGAGCTTGAAAGGGGATGTTGATAAGAGAGGTGAGGAAAGAGGGACGTGGTGATGGGACGATAATAGGAAGAGAAAAAGGAGCTAATGAGGAAGGAAAATAAAGGGAGGAAGAAATAGAAGGAGGACAAAAGGGACTGAGGAAAGAAAAAAATGAGGAAGGAGAGACTGGTGTAAGAGGACATGTTGTTTGTGTGGGGCTGTGGGGAGGGGAGGGGCATCAAAGCAGACACAGACAGAGAGACAGAGACAGGTGTAGTGGAACACACCATTGCCAGAGTTGTTGCTGGGCGAACAGTTTTTCTGCTTGGTCGCCTGTCGACACTCTTTCATCCAGGGGAAGATCTGCTTGGCCACAGAGGGGTTGGGGGGCAGCGAGGAGGAGGAGGACGACGTGGAGGACGATATGGAGGAGGAAGAGTTGGACGACTTATTGGGGCCCGATTTGGAGATGGAGGAGGCCCCAGCGGCGCCGCCTGGCTGCTGGGCCCCGTTATTGCCGTTGCTGGGGTTGGGGGGCAGTGGAGGGGACACCTGGGAGCCCGGGTGGTGCTCGGAGGGCAGGCTGGGCCGCATGCAGCTGCCGTTCAGCTCCTTGGTCTTGGCTAGCTGCTGCTGCTGGTGGCCGCCGTTACTGCCCAGTGACTGTAGCGAGCAGGCCGAGCGCTGGTACGAATCCACGTCCAGGTGGGCCGCTGACTGGAAGGCCGGCTGGTGGTGGGACACTGGGACCGGTGCATCGTAGCCCCCGAAGCCGTTGGCAGCCGCCGCTGCCGCCGCCACCGCCGCCCCCTGCACCTGGTAGGACGAGTAGCCACCGAAGAGCGCAGAGGAGTTGTCGTAGTAGGTTGTCTTCTGCATTTCTGAGAGAGGTGGCGGCGTCTTCGTGTGCTCCGGTCCTTGCTGAGAGCTGCTGCCGGAAGACCATTTGGCACCGGGGGTCACGTGACGGTGTCTCTCCAGCGACCTCCTGCAATCTGACCTGAAAGGTTAGGAGAGGCAGAACGGAGAAATGAGAGAGATAAATCCATCTTCCTCCCATGAAAGGCGCCATGACATGAATAGAAACCACTGCTTTTCTTTCCTCACCCCCCCCCAACCCTCCCCCTCCCCTCTGAGCCCAGTGAACAGCCTGCAGATGCTCTAGTGGAGGAGGCATCAGGAGGGCAAACACACACACATACACTCATTAGCCAATGTTGGATTTCCACAGAAATTCACATTTTCGTTATTACAAGTTATTATTATTATCATTATTATTATTATCATTATTGATATTTTTATAATTATTTACATAACAGCCAATTAACCCGTATTATTTAGAGTGGATGTGGTCATAAAATTAGTTGTTGTAATTATTGATATTCTCTATTTTTCAGCAATTAATCTAAGAATGATGAAAATGCTTTACCTTTGAATTTGGGAATAAAATGACAGAAAAAAAGTATTTTCATTATTGTTTTAAACATGAACATGTCATTATGTTTCTATCCTTCATTCAGAATTGTTTTTCTGAATATTTAATTTTGTATGGTTCATAATAAAGCACGAGCCCGCCATGTCTGCTGTTATTCAAGCGGTACATTTGGTCGCGTGATGGCGGCAGTGGATGCGGCCCGTGTGTGTCTGTTCTCCCGGTGTGACTGATGTAGGGAGCCTATTTCTGTCAGCCTCTGCCTTCCACGTATGATTTAGTGTGTTCCGCCTGCTCGGCTGTTACCTCACTCATAGGAGTCTATCTCCGGAAGCGATCGTTTGCTGCTGAATAAAAACGCTGCTGCCATCACGGGAGATTTTCTTTTAACAGGTCCGAGGAAAAATAACGTATTATTGCAAGTTATTACGATGTTTTTTGGGGGGATTTTCTAAACAGAGTAAAAAGTAAAAACGTATTAACGGTGCTCCCAATTGGCAATTTGAAGATGCTGAAGAAGGGGATCGCGGGAATATTTCTCAAAACATTCTTCTTCTTTTTTTGGTTAAAGGAAATAATGATTTCCAGACTATTCTATTTGGTTAATACGGTGCCTATGGGCTACGTTTAAAAAGAGGAATGTCAAAATAAAGACATTTTTAACTTCAGAACAAAATAGGCCATCAAGATGGATAGAAAATAAAAAAGACCGAACCTCGGGAAGAAGCTTCACGAGTCCGTGATTCATTAGGGTCGAGTGCTCTATCACGGCCCAGGGAAAAGGAGCGGAAGGGAGAAAAAAGAACCAACAGCAGTGTGAGCCCCCACAGACTCCCCATCTCACCCTCACCGCTAACGGTGGGCCTGTGTGCCACGAGAGGGCCGGCTTGTCAGGCGCGAGGGAGCACCTGGCACTCATTGCTCATCGGTAGAGATAAAATGTTGAACGGGGAGAAGCTGGAGGGGAAGCGGCTCCGCCATCTGACACTAACGCAGCGGTTCGGCATGCTAGCACTGAAGCTAACTCCTGAGGCCCGTCAACTGTAAATGTTAGCAATAATTCATTCCCCAGCACACAGGTGGGCCTATTGGAAGCCACCAAGTCTATTTAACAATATTAAAATCAAGTAAAGCCACTTCCGGGTTTCATTGCTGGAGAATATATATATATATATATATATATAAAACATCAAACTAAAATGCATAATTAAAGCGCGTGCGAAAATAAGTGGCACCGTTAAATAAGGCCTACGCTGCAAAAAGCTACAAACAAATGCTAAAAATAAAAGTGAAATTATTTCCAGTAGTAGGTTATGGCTACGCTATGTTCGTGGTTCGTCTACAGTTTATTCAGTACAATTATTTCTGTAAACACCAGCAGCGCACGAGGCCTAAATAATAGTGTATCAACAAAGAGAAATAAAGAGCAAGAGAGTTCCCTAAAAACACATAAATACTTCCTCTTTCAGATGTGAATGTTTTGGGTAAAATGTAGCTATATACCAATATAAACATAGCCTATATAATTCATATATACATATACATATACATATATATATATATACTATTATTCTGTTTTTTGTGAGTAGACAGACAGTCCAGCTCTTCTCCAGCTCTCAGCACGTCACACATGTCAGCCATTTATCTTTCTAGTAGACAAGCTGGAATCCGAATTATTTACTCTGAGGAATAGTCCCAAGGAGAGAGGGAGAGAGGGAGGGAGGGAGAGAGAGAGAGAGAGGCCATGGCAGTGAGTGTAGGAGGAATATGTTATTAAATCATATGCTGTTTCGCCATTATACGGAACACGTAATGTCTCTGCCCCCTTGCTTGTAGGGCTGCAGTTTAATACAATCACCAACTTTACTAGATGCCTCCCTGAATAATCCACTTACACTGACAGAGAAACAGCCACCCAAACAAAAACAACAGAGTGAGAGAGAGAGAGAGAGAGAGAGAGAGAGAGAGAGAGAGAGAGAGA